ATGCGTTTTGTGCAATTCAGCCCATCGAACGATTGCCTATTAATGATTTTCACTGCTTTGAACTTTAGTCTATGCAAAAAATAGTTCAAACATTGGAAAACACTTAAAAATTTCACGCACTAGCGCATGAAAGCCGAATTCGAAACCTTAAAGGGTGAATATCTTTATCCCAAGTTAATAGTTTACTCGTCAAAATTTTCACGGGGCCGCACGTGTTACCCGCCGGTACGGAAAGGCTGAATTTGAATGGGCAAGGTTGAGCGTGGGCAGTGGGTCATTACCCTAAAATTTCAGTCTCCTAGATTCGTGGTTCCCGAGATATTAATTTACCCGTAAAAAACTTTCACGGGGCCGTACGTGTCACCCGCGGGTATGGGGAAGCTGAATTTAAATTTGCGGGGCCATGCGCGGGTGGGGAACGTTACTCTGAACTTTCAGTTTCCAAGCTTTTGTAGTTCCCGAGTTGAAAGTTGCGAACAAGTTGCTGCGGACACACACAAACACACACACGGACAACCCCGTGACAATATGCGTTTTGTACTGTTGTTACACAGCACAAAACGCATAACAAGCAATATGTTGTAGTTAAGGAGAGGAGAGGAAAAAAACCGGCCCTTTTCCAACAGCTGGGCTGCATGGAAGTGGAACATGGAATAGCACAATGGCTGGGAAGAACAAATAACACTGACCCAACCACCCACTCATGTACTGTCCTACAGCGGCTAGCAAGTACCAATACAACAACAGCGAAACTGCACTGATTTCGTTTGGTCTAGCAAACGTTGCTGAGGTATTTTACGCCAAAAAAGAGTTAAGAACTATTCAAGCAGCAACGAAGAAAACAGATGATGTTTAGTGGCATCTGCATGATGTAAAACGTAAATTAACAACCGATCAGTGCTCGGCAAATTCATCTTTCCTGATGATTCAGGAATTAAACGCCTAGTCAGCATGCTATTCTCATAAAAAGCGCTTCCTCATAACTGAAATATTATGATTGTTCGTATTACGGGTTAACTTGCTCTCTTCTCCCTCCACATTTACTCTCTGTTTGTTCTCTCTTCGATTTCTCTTTCTTTCGCATATCCGTCTTGCAAAATTAATTACATGACTGTTCAGCAGTACATGGCGGACATGAGGCTGTATTGATGATATCCGCTCCTACCCGCATGCATAGTTCGGTCTGTGTTTACAGCCAAGGGATGAAACAGAGAGACTGCACCGTAACCTGTCTTCTTACACATGACACTTAAGTCCAGTCCCTCTATTCTGCTATTTTAACAAGGCTATCAGAAAGCAACTGTGAGTCTCAGCTGAGTTACTTTGAATTACGGGAGAAAAGGACTTACTTTAGTCTGTATGAAACTGCGGCACATATTCTCCACATCCTCCACCCAACCGCTTTCGCGCAGTCGCTGCAACAGCAACTCCCTCATTCGATCACGCTCGCCTGATTCAATGAATCGCCGTTCCAATGCCGCTTTGCTTATTGCCGGAATAGTTGTCATTACACCACTGAAACTACTAATATTTTGAACTGCCTGAAAAGTCACCTGGAACGCATCAACGACGCTGTACATCATAAGGCGAGCAGTGAAAGCAACTTAGAAATAAGCAAAATGCAGACTCTTTTATGAATAGTCAAACCTATGCAAAGATAATTACGATTGGTACGCAACACCAACGAACAACGTTCCAAATACAGGCAGCAGCTGTTTCACCAGTGGACATTATAGAAGCAACATAGCTACAGCACTTGTATGCTGAAGTTTCTATGATAGTGAGACAATGTCGAAACAGGCACTCGTAATAAATCACAAATACAGCTAATATGGGGCAACATGCTTTAACAGTAGCTGTATGACATGAACTGGAGAACTAAGATATAATAGGTATCGTATTAGTGATACTAGTAATAATAAATAAAATACAGAAAAAATATAAGACATGGTCTCTTCTTTCTTTTTTCTCAGTTACTTAGTACACGCACTTCAATAAATGAAGGTAGAAAATAGGAAACTCTTCTAACAACACCCATCCTTATCCACGATAGGATACTAAATATGTTTACAGCTAAGGAATAAAACACAGACAGAATGATTTTTCGGATATTTCTTCATAATATCTGACGCACGCACGCCAACTGTCCTCTTATTTCCACAGTTTTCCTGTTCGTCCTTTCTCCCTTCTTTCTACAGATTCTCAGTTATAACTGTTCCTGCACATGGACATGACAAATACTCAGTTTTATCGCAACCGCAAAAACGAGTGCATTTTGCGGATTTCCTCAAACTTTCTCCGGAGATTTTATTCGCCGTTAAATCTGCGTCCTTCGATTAACGATCGGTTGTCTGAAATTATTCACTTCCTTTCATGCAAAAATTCATAGCAACAATACACTCTATAAGTCAAGACTTGATTCGGCCCCCTGATGTAACACTGTGGCTTCGGCCGAAATCCTCTTTCCGCTGCATGTAAATAAAACGCCAAAACATGTTAAGCTATAAAGCAGCAACCATTCATACTGTTGACGACTTGTCTGCTTCAATTTTAGCCCAAAAACGTATGGTCGCGCCGGGCAAACCTAGTCTGGATCGCATTTGAATAAGATGCAAAAACGCATAAACTAAACAATCAAAAATTTTACCGCCTGGAGAAAATAAACAACGCCGAGCATTTTTTTTTTTGAATGGCCAATGGTCATTAATAAAACACTGGTCATTAATAAAACACCGAATTTGGAACCAAAGTGCCAACAATAAACAGTGCTATCAGGCGAAATACATACTTCAGTTTGGGGATAATATTACCCAAAAAATGATAAATCCGGTATGTAACCTTGAGCAAAGTTTTATCTGTCAAGCACCATACAACGCGTAAACATGGATAAAAGCACGAAATAGTCGAGGACAAATTTTCTGGAAAAAATATTATTCGATAAACACCTTCTTCTGGGCAATGAATAAGCTCGTATGTGGCATTCATCCTAGATTTTAAACGAAATCTTGCTTTCAAAAGCTGTGAAAACAAAATTATTGTTCTAAAACCATTGCTCCCCTTCCCCATCCCCTCATTTACCTCTTCACCCACTTTTGGCTCATCTGCCTGTCTTGCTTTCTATTGAGCTTCATC